ATATGGAAATTCTAATTATGTTAATAGATTCTCTTGTTATAAACAAGAGGCTTCTTTCGGTGAAGAAATGATTTATTATGGGATAGGGGATTTAGCTCAGTGGCATAAGCACCTGCCGGGCAAGCACAAGGTCATGAATTTGATGCGTGGTACAAAAAAAAAAAAAAAAAAAAAAAAAAAGAAAGAAATGAACTGGTTAATTTACTTCTTGTTATATTTAGTGAATATAAGCGTCCACTGTTATATTCTGAAGAACATTGTTTCCACATGGCCTTTTTCTAATAATTTCCTCTAATTTTTAATTCTACATTTTTAAAGAATGATTCCCCATACCAAATATATTGTTATTACACTGTTATTTTATAACCTTAGTATATAAAAGGCTCAATTTCAGTGTGTTGAACATAGTGACACTCAAAATTTCTGGTATGTGATCAGTTTTCATGTTAAACAACAACAACAACAACAAAAATAAGGAGAAACAGGGGTAGGTACAGAGGAGACAATCAACTCAATTTTTCCAGAGTTTTGTGGTAAGAAAAGTAACATCAATATTCATATCAGTGGGGGCAAAAGCATTGGTACATCAGTAGTGCTGAAAACAATAGGCTGCATGGGAGAACTTTAGTGTCTTAGTAGTAAAACCCACAGACCACAAAATGTTATTCACATCGTAAGCAAAATATGCCCTGTCCGAATGAATGAAAATCTTTCACTTTCTAAAGGCTGTGCCTTTCTTATTGCAGGTACTCGCTTTAATTCCTGACTGGAATTGGCAAGAGGATTTTGGGGTGCTGGATGGTAGTGTAGTTAGTTCTGCCTCTCTGCACGGTGACTTTCCAAGTGCCAGCAAGGACCTCAAGGAGACACCCAGCACTGCTGGCCCAGAGCTGCTCCTAGGAGAAAATGCAGCCAATGCCAGCTGGGGGAGCTTTAGTACTTAGTGGCATAAAACAACAGATAACCGCTCTTCAATGGCTAGACGTGTATTAGAAGACTGATGACATTTATGTTCTTTAAATTATCACAGTAATTATTACTGGTTCATTGTTATCAATAATAATAGAGGTGCAGAAAAAGTAAGCTCAGTCAGCTGAAATTGCAATGTTTAGTGGGCACTTGAGCTGGGGTTTACACACGATCGCTTCTGGAAATGAAAGCCCTGTACTTATCCCACAGTGTGTGAAGCGGCACTGAGAACGGATTTTGGTTTTCCTTAATCAGAACCACTGTGCATTTATTCTCCATGCTGATCTTCCACTGAGAATTCCATGAACAGCATGCGTAAAGCACAAAACTGATGATTGTAAGCTCAAATTAGTGTTACGAGAAATGTAGAGATGTAGATTTTGCAGTGATCTGATTTTAGGGATTTGGCACAAGAATTTCAAGGACAAATCCACTGACATTTAGCAGTTCAAAGTGGTAACTCCAAAAGTGTCACCCACGCTATCAAAACTTTTCTAAAAGTAAAGCTAATGGGAACTAAATGCTCAATTTCTAACAATTTTAATGAATTATAGTAAGTGAATAAAAGAAAAACTACACATACAACATGTTATTCCTGCCCAGTTCGTTTCTGCGCTGAAGTGCTATAAGCAATGTGATGTATCAGTTTGTTATTTCAAAGCTTTTGTCATTTCCAGAGCTTTTGTGCTTTTTTCAGCTCATGTAAGTTTATTATTAAACTTTTAATAAATATGTCATTCCCCATGAGTTGTAAATTTATGTGTTTAGGTAATAACTAGTGGGATAAAAGCATATTGCTGCCTTTCGAAAATCAAATATTTGGCCAAAATCAAAGTAAAAATGTTAATACCTATATTTCAAAATTTGTATTGGTAAGCATAACTATACTGTATGCATCTATATATACTTTTCATCACAATCTTAAATTTGCTTTTTGAATCGGAACTGGCTCTATATGAAGTGGGCTGTGAGTGCATTTTAGTCTTGCAAATCCCACCAATCTGTTCAATCCAAGTTCACCACTGTGTGTCCAAGCACCCTGCCTGCTCCTGAAGAATACATAGCAAGCGTGGTCCCTGTGACAGCATATGGTTTTAAAATAAAATGCACTTTGTTTTTATTTGCTGCAGAATGAGTTAGAAGTACTTTACAGAAAGGATAAAGGTAAAAGCATTTTTGCTTACACGGCTAAAAAAGTTTTAGAGGAATCTGCAAATCAGAGGTATGCTGATCTCTTATTCAAAACCTCTCCTAAAACAGTGTTTTCAGGGCACATATTTGTAGGAAATCAAAAATACATACATTTTACATAATGTGTAGCCATGGCCCAAATACTGTTTTGAGAACACAAAGTCAAGCTCTGAATGCTGACAAACCTTTTATCACTCACGCTTTTCACAATCAAGAACTCTATGAAGTCACCATTTGTGACAATATGCACTTGAGGGTGCCATTCTGAGGTCTGAAATATGTAAACATATTAATGAAATGTATCCAAAAATTGTATCAACTGGAGCTGTAACAAAGGCACAGAGTATGTTTCATTTTGTTTGATACCCTCATAAAATTTTAAATATATTTCTCCTCTACCCTTTGCTTAGAAGCTGATACAGAAACTCAGTGACAGCTCTATGAATGACCTTTAAAGAATCACGATAGTCTCTAATTTCTGCATAATCGTTTATGACTTTTAACTTTCCCAACAAAAGTGCCTTAATATTTCTATCAAAATATAGGTTAGAATCAACCTACAATGGAATCACTTAACCATTGCTGAAGTCCACATTCCCAAGGCTGAGGCAAGAAAGAATCATTTGTCTGAAATTATTCTGGGCAACTGAGTGATACCTGTTTAAAAAAAGCGGGGGGGTGAGGATAAGTGACCACCCTGAATTTTAGTTTCTGTACTAAAAAAAAAAATAAGGAAGGAAAGAATGGAGTGAGGAGGGAAGGAAGGAAAGAAGAAAGCAGACAGAGAAAGAGAGAGAGACAGAGAGAGAGAGAGAGAGAAAGACAGAGAGAGACAGAGACAGAGACAGAGACAGAGACAGAGACAGAGACAGAGACAGAGACAGAGTCTGAGAGAAAGGCAGGGCATGACTTGAGCCCCATATCTGACCCAGGGTGGGTAGCTTGCTTACGATAAAAAGCAGGGGAAGAGGTGTGCTCCCCACTCCCCTTTGTTGCTCCTGCTACTTTTGCTGTCTTTTTGCTGCCTCAGAGGGTGGCCCCTGTGCTGTGCCAGCTTGCTTTGATCCAGCTAATTATGGACTGAAACCTCCACAAACTGAGCTAAACAAGCATTTCCTTCCTTAATTCTGGATGTCAGATATTCTGTCATAACAGCGAGGGAAAAGTAACAGGTCCGCACAAACTTAAAATATTTAATTTTAGAGCATTGGATATGCATGGATTAGAAATACTGAAAACAAATTTCCCAGTAAAATCCAATGGTGGCTATTTCTACAGCAAAGCTATTGGCCTTGGGGATATCCTCCATCAAAAGCTGACTACAGGAATGTCCATGTACACACAACACATGCACACACACAATCTTTACGTATTTCAATTTGAAATTTTACCAGAATCAGGTTGCCACCGATCAAGCTGTTTTGTCAAGTCGAGATGGAAATCTCCAGTTGGCTGGGTGCTGCTCCCTTAGGTTAATGGCTCCAGTGCAGGGATTCTCAGGCCTTAGCGCCACAGTGCTGAGCCGTGAGTGGCGGGGCCTCTTGACTCCCAGTGTCACAGTTATTGGCTCTTAGCGTTCCAGCTCTGGGTGCCTTCTAGCCACCCCATCAGCTCCATCAGCTTGTCCGCCCCTTTGTAAGCTTCTGAATCCCAACCAGCAAGGTCTGCTGTCTCCCTGGGTCCTCCACTGCTGGCTCCTCTGGCACAAACTACAGCTGCCCCTCTCAGCCCTTTTATTCTTCCTGGGCTAATGGCCTCACACTTCGGGCCCACTTCTGAATCCACCCCACGTGGCTGATAGGCCTGGGGCTGCTTCTCAGCTTTCCCCTGGGCCTCATCTTTAACTGTTGGCTTCTGGTCTTGGGCTTCTCAAGGGCTACCTTTTGCTCATTGGCCTCAGGTCTCACACAACACAGGTCTTCAGTCTCTAGTGCCTGCTACTGCCCTCCTCCACCTCTAAGTCTTCAAGGTTTATAACCTGTAGCGTTAGCAAACCCTTGTAGCAGCCCGGTCAGTCCAGGCTGCCTGAACAGGGAATAGGACCACTTGAGGGAGGGCTTCCTCATCCCCTGTGCTGCCACTCAGGTGCCAGGTGGTGGGAGGAACCGTTCCTCACTGAGTGAAGAGAGAGGTGGGAACAGGGTGCATACAGGAAGCAAGGCAGAGCCTCCCAGAGTCATCTGAGGCTGGGCCATCTGGAATAAGTCACTGTGGCAGTCAGGGCTACATCTTTTGAAGCAGCTATCAGGCATACCGGACAGGCATAGTGGCCACAGTGAGAGCTCTGCAGAAAGTTTCTGAACTTCTTCAAAAATGGTGGAGCTATTAGGACGCTGGTGTGAATTCTTTGGAATCTGCAAGTGGGACTAATTGTGTCAATCAATCAAGGGCAACCAGATCCTGGAGAATACCAGAAATGACCCTGATTCAGCTTCCATCTTTGTGGTTAGGTACAATATTCGGTTGCTTCTCAGAGAAGCAACATGGCTGTTAGGTGAAGGAGAAGAACTGGGTCTTTTTTATTTCTACCTAAAGTTCATTGTTTATAATCTTTTAAAATTGTCAGAATTTAAAAACATATTTCATCTGGTGAAGGTGGTTGAGACTAACAGGAACAAGGGAAATCTGTAGCAAGTACCATCCCTCTGCGTTCCTTTAACATGTAGTTCATCGTCAATTGTACTCACCATTATATTTATGAGAGCAAAAAGAAAATCAAGTAGATCTTTTGAAAGTGGGGTAGCAAACTATACTAATACCATCCCATCTTAATGAATATAGTTACAGTTTTTGGCAGTGCACTAAATTGTGCTTAGGACATTAGGGAAAAGTACACTCACCACTTCTTCATGCCTGCATTTTCTCACATTAATTCCGTTTATCTGCAATGAATATAAAAGCATAGTTTCATGGAGGGTACTGCAATTTGATTTTATGTCTTGGTGTCAGAGATATAGCAATAAAATATATACCTGTAAAATTGCATCTCCAATAAAGAGCAGTCCTGAAAGTTCAGCTGTAAATAAAAAAAAAAAAACAAATGATAATGTATTGACCATTTTCATCACACGTATATATTTTTTAAATTAAATGTTTTATATCATTACTATCTTTGAAAGTCCAAAAAGAATGGAAATATAAAACTATAATATGATTCAAGCCATTTTAATTACTGAATTACAAGCAGGGATATTTCTAAAAATTAATCCCTTTTGTGGATGGACACTAAATTTCCTTAGATACTTCATGGATTTTTCTTTGACAAAGTTTTAGACAACTTGTAAACCGAGGAAATGTCTCCAAGTTCATTTGCAAACATTATGTGGCTTTACTGATTTCAGTCACAGAAAAATTGCTGTATATCTTCATTAATTTTCTTCAAGAATTTGCATAGGGATGGTTAATTGAGTAAAAATACGGTAAGTACTGCAAAAAAGTAGTAAATGGAACTGTTTTTACTAGATGTAACTAGTTATCACTGCTTTTGCTTCTGTGTTTAAACAATTGAAAGGCTATGTACTACTTAACTCATGCATGGTCACGTGGTTTATTGACTTTCATTTCTGCTCCTTCTCTATAATGAAATACTAAGATTCAGCCACTGAGTTCCTTGCAATGGAGAAACAATACTTACAAAGGAATGACCACTGTATTGTTATCTAACATTTTACCTCTTTGTTCTTTGGAGATTTTTGAAACGACAACTGGAATGTTATGCTCTGCTCCTCCCTAGAAAAAGAAAATTACATGTAGTATTTTTAATTGCAAAAAGTGCAACTGCATAGGTACTGAATGCCTGTCAACTGGACATCCAGGGAAATTTATATAAACTTAAGTTCCCACTTCACTAAGTAGGTAATGCCCCCACAAAACCCATCTACCTGTCTTGAGATATGCTAAGATATCCAACAATGAAAACTAATTGACATTGACATTTTTTATTTCTCAAAAAAGTTTGACAATATTTTCATTTTTAAAAATTTCTTTAAATTTATTGATACAATTTAGATGTATATATATATATATATATATATATATATATATATAATTTTTAAATAGACATTCACGTCAAAGTCCATGCTATTCAAGGCAGGAATTCTTATTTGGATTCTAAACACCAGATTATTATGTGTTTTGATTCTCTGTTTAAGTTATTCTAGACTCCAAACAATTGCAGAGACCTTTCTGAATGCTAAGTGCCAGCAACACCTTTATTGGTGCAGATAAACAAAATCAAGATATGCAAATGAGTGCTAGAAACAGCCTCATCTGCATTCCCTTAATTGGGATTAGATCCTGTTTATGTGCAAGCACATACTGTAAAATATATACAGTAAAATATCCTGCCCAAATATTGATTAGTACTTTGTTATTGGACAAAAATAGCCTAAAAAAAACATAAAATAAATAAATATAAAAGTACAAAATAAATTACTAACATAGTCTCATGACAACCTGTTTTGTCACAGCAGAGTTGAGGAAGTTAAAAACAGTTAAAAACTCAAGTATATTAAGGAATAAAATATTGTGTAAGAAGAAGCATATGATAGTGACAAAGACAATCAGAATTTTTTGGGTTTGATCATTTCTGAAATATGAAACCCCTTAATTTTTTTAAGGACAATAAATTATTTTATAATGGGATTTTCCCTATAAATGTCATTTTTAATCCTTAAGTAGAAAATAGATAATCATTTTTGAGGAAAAAACAGAAATATTCAATGTATTTATAGCCAGTTGAATGGTTTCTTCCACACTACAAAAGGAAACACTAAGACTATGATAATAAAACGTGTCCTTCTCAGGTTGACAGAATAATCTGCTAGTTTCTTCCTCACTATTACTCACAGTCACAGTATCCCTCTCCCCAGGGCTCACTGACTACAGAGAAAGCCGCTTGCACCACTATGCTGGCTCCTGATTGTGATTCTGTCTCTTAGTCTGACTCTAAAAGTTCTGATTCTGTCCTAGACCATCCAGTCTCTCATTAGATCAAAGGAGCAGTGACTTCTGAGTCATTACGTGATAAAAATTGAGTGTTCATCCTGCACACAATAAACCCTACAGAAATGGTAAGTAAATTTACTCTGTTACACAGTCTTGTCTTTAAGGTTACTAGTGAAGTCACGAGAAGTTAACATGAAGGAAAACTAAGCCAGTCTAGGATTCCCAGTATGTGAGAGGTCTCTGCTGTCAACTGTTTGTGTTAATTTTCTTCTTTTCAAACTAGCTATAATGTTAACAAATTCATTACTTATTAAATATTACTTATCTTTTTCTTCCACATATTTTTTTGTACTGGAGATCGAACTCAGGACCTCATACTTACCAGGCAAGCGCTTGAACCACTGAGCTAAACCCCAGCCAATCTCTGACATTCTTAACTAACTTTAATTATGCAAGATTATGACAGTGCTTGGAGTTTGATTTGTGCACAGATGAAATCCAACTACATTTTTTCCTTTGAAGAAAAAGATACTTGACTCAAATCGTCAACTTGATGAAACTCCTGATGATGTCAAAAGATGAACTAAATCAACTCTATCATGGCAAATCCATTGTTCTGGAGAAGGCACAGTACAGCTTACTCCAGGCCTGCTTCCTGTGGCTTCTGCACAACTGAGTTTGCATTTTACACTTTTTTCTCATTCCACTATGAAAATCACAGATTTTGTAAATGTTTAAATTTTTAATCTAAGTGACTATGGTAAAATAGGAAAAAAAAAAAACTCTTCATATGCAACTTTATATATAAAATTTATCCTGATTCAGAACAAGCAAGGTTTATTTTTTTGTAGTGGGGTACAGTTTAACTTTTAAGTCAGGCACTTGGAGCTTTAAGAGAATTTTTAAACTAATTTCAGAAAATAGCTTTTATGATTGGGTGGCAATTTTTAAAACAAAAATCAGGAGGTAAAAATTCAAATTTAGTATTACTGTACATGCAATTATTAGATGATGTGTGAGGGCAGGCCAGCTCTCATAGCTAATTAGATTTAGTTCAGTTCATAAATTTATGGATGTCTAGGTAAGAGCTAAATAATGTGGCTCACTTTCTTTAAAACAGGTAATAAGCTTCCTGTTGCAATTAAAAAGCTAAAGGCTGTGGGTTTAGGTTTAGCTTAGTGGTGAGCATGAGGTCATGAGTTTGATCCCCAGTTCAAAACAAAACAAAATAAAACAAAACAAAAAACAACAACAAAAACTTAAGTCCTTAAGAATCCTTGTTGTGTGAACTCAGCCTGCTGACTTACTGTTTTGTAACTCTGAACTCCCAGAGACATTAGGGTTTCCTATCATCTCTGCCTAGAATGTATGTTTTCACCCTTAAGCTTGTACATTCCTTCCTATATTCAAGACTTTAGGGAAATGCCCCACTTTCATTAATTACTTTGAATTATGCAGCAATGGATGGAACATTGTACTTTCTCACTAGAGTAGGAGCCTGAGCTCAGGACAGGTTTTCTATCCTCATCTTCTTCCCAACGTACCTCTGGCCCAGAGACTATAGTCCATGGCCAGGGTTTAGAGAAACCGTGAATTAACTAAACCATGTTATCCCAGTGGTCTGATAAGATTCAAGACTAGGAAAAGGGATTGAATGCTCCAACGTGCAGTTCATATATCAAAGTGTACAACAATCTACCCCACAATGTCCTTACAAACCACAGTTGATATTACAGCTAGCAAAGAAACAAAGCTATGAATCCCATTTAAACTATTGAAGAACTCTGCACAATTCTTTTGCCAGAATCACTTCAAAACACCACCAAATCAATCCTAGAATGTTTTTAGAATAACAAAAATATTGCTAAAAATATTTTCAGAGCAGTATTTTCATCATTGAAATCAATCAATGATATTTTGGACCCTGGAGATAAAAACGATGCATAGAACTTGATGTTGTTCTTAAATAAATAATGAGGGGAAAATTGGCCTAGATGGCAACATGGTAGAGCAAAATTGGCTAAGTTTGAGAGACATATCCTTAAATATTCCCGGGAAGAATATGACCAGATATCATCATCTATCTGGATCTTGTCCTAATCTGCCACAATCATTTACATTAACTTCACAAAACTTAATAGCCTTTCCTATATGATTTCCTGTACGAGTCCCTTAAGATTTCCATAAACCTACCATGACAAAAAGGAGCTCAGTGGTTACTCAGGCTAAGGTGAGGGAGTTGTAGATTAGAAGACAAGGATTGATGATAAAAGGATTTGGTGTTTCTTGTTGAAATCTTCTAAAATTGTGTCAGTAGTGGTTCATACCAGTAACATTTACTAAAATATTTTAGTTGTACACTTTACATGAGTAAACTGAAGAGTGTATGAATTGTATATCAAAATTTTAGTTAAACGATCAACTTTCAAAATAATAATTGTCCAGTGGTTTAACTGTCTCTTGCAAAGAAACCATGGCCTTGAAACTAAGGTTGACAATTTATCTGTTTTACATTCTATTTTTATTTTGAAAGGCACACATTCATTTGTGTTTGGTGGAAACTATTGAATAAGACTAAGTACAAGAATCCAGGGGCAGCCGGAGGTTTAGCTCAGTGGCATAAGTGCCTGCCTGGCAAGTATGAGGTCCTGAGTTTGATCCCTAGTACCAAAAATAAATAAATAAATAAATAAATAAATAAATAAATAGGAAAAAAAGTCTAGGGACAGACTATAAAGAAATTTATACCAATGTGTGCTTACCTATATTAAGAGTTGTTATTTCCAGACTTTTACCCATAAATCACTAACAAATCTCAAAAGCAGAAAATTATTTCATCTACCATGAAGGTATTTTTTTTTCTTGTTAAATTTGATACGACTAGTACCTCACTCTAGATGTTAGGAAGTGACTTGACTGAGTTATCCATTCTTATTTATTTGTTTCAGTTTAAATAAAGCAAAATGAGAGTAGCTTAGAGAAAGCATTATTTGTGTTCCCACTAGAAAGTTCAGAGGTCATCTAGTTCAGGTTTTATAAATATAAAGAATAATATTAAGAGTAAGAACCATGTCATCAGCTGTAGTTGAGGTGCAGGTTCAGTTCTGCCACTTATCACAATGGGTGAATTACTCAGCCCATTAATTTTTAAACTCATTGTTTCTGGAAAGGGTAACAATATCTGTCTATTTGCTGGATAATTAAGTCAAATTAAATAAAATATAACACACTCTTAACTCTGAATATGGCACTTCATGTACAGGTCATAAATGTTAGCAATTATTCATTAATGATAAAATGACTAATTGTTACAATAATTATAATTATATTTGTGAGCCTTAAAAGTTGCTTCCAAATAGAAAACACCCCAATCAAGTGCACTTGCTTGATGAGCATTGATAATTCATTATTACACAAAGTTGATTTTATTAGAAAATATCGTCAATATTGTTTAGTAATAGTCGTTAAAACATCCTTTCCTTAGAAAGCGGTTATCTGAAAAAAATTATGAGGACAGAGGTATAGTTTAATAATGTGCAAATATAAAACTTATATTTTTAAAATATAGGAAATAAGTCAGTCTCATAAAGGCAAAATTGTGCCAGTCTTCATAGTGGCTCGTGCTAATTCTCATAAGTAGATTGAGGCAAAAGTGCAAGACCTTTGGATGCTGTGATGCAAAGCTTGGTGGTATCGTGAATGTAGTCGTGGAGTGTATGAAGTTATTTGTAGAAAGGTAATGCTCAGAATTCTGCAGACTGAAGGGATGGATACTTGAAGAATCTTTTGTAGGAACTTAAAGGAAAGATAAGTTGCCCAGAAGTGGGAGAAGGGTCAGACGGTGCTGGTAAAGTGATGTGCAGTTGTGGAAAAATAATCTGGTCAGAGGCCATGGGTCAGACCAGCATGCAGGTGAAGACCAACAGGTAACTCTGGAACCTGATAAATCTGACCATTACCAAAGAAGCCGAGTCATCCTGAATACAAAAGAGATATGTGACTATGAGTGAAAAGTTCAGAAGTACTTTTGTCCAGTTTTTCACAAACATTGCTTTGGCTTTTGTGGAAATCAGGAAAAAATGTTAATAGAAAAGCTTGATTTTCTACCGAGAATCAAACTTAAAACAAAAACAAAAAGCAAACCTAAAACTAGGAAAAGACACCAAGTCCATGATTTTGGAGCAATGTTTTAAATAAAGCAAACTGAACAATGCCGGTAGCCGGGAGATGATGGTTAAAGAGGACCAAAGTTAACGTCACAGCAGGTCAGAGAATGCCTCTGAAAGAGGACCTGAGAGAAAGAGCTTAAATAAACAAGGCTTCCTGGAGAGCCAGGGCAGGTGTCAGCACAGCACAAAATGCCCTCAAATGGGCTCTCATTAGCGAGGCAAGTGGACATATCTCTGTGAGGTAATGGAAAGGACTCAGAGATAAGGGTCTGATAAAGAGAACAGAGGATCATGTGTTAGTGTGAGTACGTACAAATTTCACTTCTTACATTTGGTTTACTTAATCATTTGATCCTACTAGACTCGTTAAAGAATAAGGAAAAATGACTGTAATACAGAATGTGAAGTCAGAGAGAGGAGCTCTGCCCAGAAATAGGCATGCTCCACACAGATGAGAGAATGCCTTGTAATTAATTTTAAGAGCTGGGATCAAGGTAGTAGGAATATGGGAATGAGATTGGCAGCCTTGGGCTGGGGATACAGCTCAGTGACACAGCACCTGCCTGACAAGCCTGAAGCCCTGAGTTTGATTCCTGGTTTAAAAAAAAAAAAAAAAAAAACACAGGAGTGGTAGCCTTGGGTATGGCACTTGTGTGATCAGGACATCTGCCACCATGTGCAGCAGGAGCTCAAATTTACCTCTCAGTTGAAACTACGCTATTTCTGTGCTTTCATATTTAGAATAGGTCACAGTATATAGGATGCTTTGCTCTTTATCTTTTCATTTTTGTTATAAAAGGATGAAAGGTTAAGCCCTTAAAGAATAACAGTGTCTATGAATACAAATCAGTAACTCTTACATACACACAAATGTAACTGATGCCTATGTTTTTAAGTGGTTGTAATCTACACTTCATGTCTAATGTCTTTGAATAGAATATAAGAATATATAGCTTTCACAGAAGAGTCACAGAGGTTCTATCTTTCATCTCTAAATTTTATTTTGCCCTTATTATTTGGCACTTTGGAATTTTTGACATGAGAAGCTCATTTAGTGTGCTCTATATCATATTTTAACATTCACCTTTCAAGGGAGGTGATCAAAATTCTGTATTAAACTATAGACATACAACTATCTCAATCTGTAAGCTACCTGCAGATTTTTCTCCCAGAAATTCAATATTATTTTGTACAAGGTGGAGAAAATAATGTAAAAGTTGGTTTATTTTATTACCAGCATACATCCCTGCCAGGATTCTGTGAAGAAAAGTCTCATGACAGTGCAGTATAGGAAACAGGCATCAAGGATTTTTGGACATTGGTAGCCACAGAAAGACTATATTGCCTAATTTTATGATGACTGAAGCATGCTAATAAATCAAATGTTATGAAGAAATCAGAATCCCCTCTGCACTGACTGCCCTGTGGGAGAACTGAGGAATTCTCCAGGCTGGTGGTAACTGTGTCAGGAAAGTGCCAGGAACCAAGTATTGAGAGCAAAACAATACGAGAGCATGTTAAAATACTTCAGTCTTTTCTGGTGAAAAAGCCTATTTCCTTAGCTTTAACCCAAGTTTTAAACAAATAGCTTCTTTTGGAAGACAAAACTGAGATACTCTGCATTCTAAGGCACGTGAAATTCACTTCAGACCTGTATGCATCCTAACTCGGCTGGTAAATGCCTTTTCAGCTGTCCAACATGTCCTCTTCCTTCTGCTATTCCTTGTTGCTATATTAAACATTTTAATGAATGATTCTTACTATAAAACCTCTAGCATGTGCCAGATATGCTGATTTAACCAAAACAAGTAAAGTTAAAATATATGTATATTTATATGCACGATTACATTATTCCCTCAAAATTTGGTAGCATTTAACAGATGATACAGCATCACGGTATTGCTATGCTTTTAGCTTGGAATGGCTTTTTAAAATATTTTAAAATGTTTTAAAGCTCTCAGTTCTAAAGAAAATAGTGCTCATAAATACATTAGTTCATAAAATTCTAGTATAAAAAGATAAGATTTATATATTATATATTATTACTTACAATTAATAATAATATTTTTAAAAGTATGACTAGAAGGAAAGCTAGTATCAAAAACAGAAAATAAAACTTCAAAGCACTATTAAGAAAACCAAGTGGCAAGGTACAAAAGTAATTCTTTTGTGATGAATGTATAATATTCCAAATTAAAATTTAGTTGCTGTTTGCTGATTAGTGTGTCTGTGGGTATAATAACAATTTTATAGTAATTCACTTTTTGGTCAAATATTCTAAAAACGGGCAAAAATATAGTTGAAATATTTTGTGATCTGATTTTTAACGGTAAATATATACTTTTTAAAGAAAATTGCTGCATTATATATTCAAGCTGAAATAATTAAAATATTAGTAAGCAAACTAACAAAATTCCAAATGATTCAAACACTAAGAGAAAATGTGACATTTCAGTAAAAATAAATGGCATTGTGTTATTTGGTATAAATTATAAATAGATTATAAAAGAAAAAGAGAAGAACACTTTTCAGTGGCACACAATTAGTATAGTTCCACACTGTAATATAATTCCACTACTGAAATAGAATCCACGCCAGCATCAAGAATAACGTATCATGCAAATAAAATCAAATTTGTTGTTTGATTTTGTTCATTGGCTTTCTAGTATATTTAATGGTTTGCCTCTAAAATTTGCACAGTAATTTCAATAACTATCTTGGCAGAAAAAAATCACAACGAAAAAGAAAGCTTGTCTATTTAATAACAGAATTCCTATGGCACATTTTTTAAATCCTGTAATTTGTTCTGCATGCCTACATGATCTTAACTGCTCATAGATAAAGGAAATAGAAAATGTATTTTAGAGCTAATGTTTTATATGCTAATATTCTCATTACAGACAGCACAATGCTTTTGCATTGACTTCCTTCTTGTTACAGACCACAGAGTTAGATAGAAATATTAGAGACAGTCATACAGGGCTGGACCCTTGAAGGCCAGATACCTTGCAACAGTAGGGGAGACAGTTGTGGGCCATACTTCAAGACAAAAGATAAGTCAAATGCACCGACAGACCTCCTAAGGATAAACATCAGGAATTGATATTCTAAATAGGAATCTCTGAGGAAGCCAAGAGTCACTATCCCAAACCCCTAATGGAAGAGTCACTGCTCTTTAAGTATGCACCATTGCTATGTGACTCTCTTTCCCATTTGTCACCAATTTAATCAATTTTACCTGAGCGATTATGCTCATCATCTTATTGGTTGACCATAGTTCGGTCCCTGATCCACCTCGCAAGTTCCCATGTCTTCCCCACCTTGTCCCTGCCTCACTTAACTGTTTAACTCTTTATAAGTCCCTGGAAAGACAGTCTTTAGCAACACACTCAGGACCCTTCTGTCTCTCTCTTGGACAGATTTCTTTTTCTCAATAAATATATTCTGCTCTTAACTTAAAATTAATTCTTCAGTTTTAGAAAACAGGAACTCATACCGGACATCTTGTAGGTTGGGAGTTTCAGTTCCCTCTGTCACTTCCTGGGTCCTTTTCACAAAATTGACCAAAGATGGCATGCACAAAATTCAAAGTTTAGCTTTCCAAGTGTAAAACCTGATTTGTGTTAAAATTCAGTGAAATGTGTATGCGATGTATAAATGATTTTGATTCTACATGAATAAAAAGTCGGGATAAAGTTTAATTTATCTAGGTAAGGATGCAGGTTTGCTAAGGATATTACAGTTACTGGGTTGACTTCGCTTCTTATACTTTCAAAATTTATTTTGTTGTCAATCATCCTAATTTCTAGACGTGTTATATGTCTGAGTCAACTGTGTTCCAAATTAAAAGCCTTTAAAGTTTCATAATAAATGAATGTGGCATTGCTAAATGATATTAAATGATTTCTTTAATGAAAGTGAAAATTAAACAAAGAAAAAAATGAATAGAAGCAGAAAATTTTTCACTTGTTTTCAAGTCTTATTAGCATAACTTGTGCTAAATAGATTCACTTCCTGCTATGGAGGGCTAAAGAAAGATATGTGCATGTATTTTAGAATAAACCAGAACAAAGAATGTTAGTGAGTTATAATAAATGTCAAGAGAAATAAAATTCCAAAATCTTTTTTAATTGTTTCAATAAAAAGCTAAAGTATGCACAGTGTAATGTGAGAGCCTATCTAATTTGCATTGCATTCCAACTATCAAGGAGTTTGCGATATCCATTTTTTCATAATTATTAATTATCAGTTAAAATACACAAAACATTAGTCTTTACAGCTTGTCTTTTATAAGGATAGACTAGAAAGTCAAGCTACCTTTATGCTTAATCCGAATCCTCCTACAGTTTGTCTTCTGATGGTCACCGTTCTTTCCTGAAAGACAGGAGTTTTAATAATGGTTAGGCCAAGCTTCAAGGATGCAGCATCACAGCACATGAATGATTCACATGATGTCTGAGCTGGAAATGGTGAGTAAGTCGACTTCAAAATTATTAACTGCATGTTTGGACAAAGAGTGAATTACATGCCTATACAATAGGATCATGGAGTTACCGATTTTCAAAATCAGTTTGCTTACCCTTCTACAGTGGACACCACGATGCAGACATTGTTTGTAAAGCTTTAAAAAATTACAAAGGGACAAAGAACCACTTTGGGACAAACCTATAATTTTCTATTTGATAATCAATAATCACTGTTTTAATACCATCATCTCTAGATAACACTGAGGGGCTGAAACCTATGATCTCTAACCTATTTCATTTTTTAAAAACATCTCTAGTTAATGTCTTCTTACTCTTTCCCTAACCCCTCCATATATAAAATACCATCCTTCTCCTGAATTCAGGATAAGATATTTGTTGTCTGGCCTCTGCAGTTCCAAAATGCCAAATTTATTTGTCTGGGTATCCATTTCTAAATATTAACACTGGTCTCAAGATTATAGATGAATCGTGCCCTCACTTTCTTATTCTCCCAGGGCTCCACTGAATCGGTGAAAATTTGAAAAACATGTTGCTTCTGATGACTCTTGCTAAATATTTAAGACAGAAAAAAAATCTCATCATTTTGGTAAAGTGAAATCTTTTCAGGCAAATATTTACTTTTAATAAATAAAAATGGCACTTTAAAATAGTAAGACTGCCATACTATAAGAAATATTAGCTAATATTTATTAATAATTGAAATCTGTATTTATATACATATATATTTAGTACATCTTGTAAGTGTAAATAAATAACATTCAGAAATATAAATTATCTACTTCTTAACAATGTGTGGAGAAGTTTCATCAATTTTTATGTTATTTTCTTCTTTTAACTCATCATTAAATCATATTTTCATATCAATACTAATATTTTATTTAAGCAAATAAATTTATATGCATATTGAAATTTCTGCACTTAAAATATAAAACATGCTAATCATATTAATAACCTGCATTTTGATTAAATTTTTTATTTATGAGCTCACTGTTACATTACTTAATACTAGTAAAATCTCAAGTCTAGGGAGATGTTATATTGTAGAATTTATATCACAATGTCCATGCATATATGGAAACTGCCAAAAGGAAATGAGTGAGTGCATTGTATATGCAGAAAACCTCATTTAAAACAAACCAAATATTTATTATAAATATCCTTGTACTGAACAGGGCAAGAACAATTGGTTAATATTAATTACTGCTTGATTAATATCTAAGATTTATTAAAGGAAGTTGAACTATATTGGAATAGAAATTGAAACTACATTGACATTGAAGTCAAAGAATCCATTAGTCATTTAAGTATTCAGGGTTTTAACATATTTGCCAAATTACTTAAATCACAAGTCCATGTTTCTAAATCTGCAAAATGCTGATAAGTAACATAGAGTAACAACTTCATGGATGAATACTTGTGCAGAATCCTGACAGAGAGTACAAAATTAATGAATATTAAAGGACTAGACAGGAATTCTTAACAAATAGTCACTTAAATCTCTAATTAATATTTATCCAGCTCACATTCAAATATTTACACCATACAGTAGCTCAAACACAGGAGGACTGAGATAGGGATAGATAATTAAATAGTGATTTTCCTCTTATCACAGATAAGCCAATTGCTTTCACAAAACTGCCAATCAAAGTAACATAAAATTGTTGAAGTTTTTAAACAATTTCCTTAATTCTTTTCTTCAAGGAATGAATTCTTGATTTCTTAAATGCTTGTAAAACCAATGGGACAGTTCTATGCAGCTGTGCACAGGTCCAAAGCCTTAGCACTCTGGGAGGTTGAGGCAGAAGGACAGAAATTCAAAACCAACTTGGACAATTTAGGAACTTAGTGAAACCTTAATGCAAAATTAAAAATATAAAAATGAACGGAGTATGTAGCTTAGTGAGAAGGTCTTGGGTTCAGTCTCTACTGCCAAAAACTAAAAACTAAAAAGTCCATCAGAGTAAATGCATTATAATTAGGAACAATTATTTAAGTCCTGTGGTAAGTAATCTGTATTCTATACTTTAGTGCACACTAAAATGCTGGTTTTCTTGGATAGGAATTGCAAACACACCAGGCTTGTCAAAGGTGTCAAGAAGCTTTTGCTCATTCTCTGCAAGTCTCCTTTTCATTCTTTGGTGGTGAATATTTAGAACAAGTTCCAAATCAGACACAAAATTGCTGATGCAGAAAAGAGTTTCAAGAGTCAGCAGAAACTGGCTGCTGAAAATCTCAGAAACAGCATTTATTTAATGATGTTTAAACACCCAGGCAGGGATATATGCACATTTCCACTAACGCACCTCCATATGGTACTGTTTCATTAGCTATTCTTAAGAAAGATGGGACAACAGGGCCAATTACCGTGTGTGTGTGTGTGTGTGTGTGTGTGTGCGCGTGTTTGTGCGTGCACATGCGTGTGTTACTGACCTCAAGAACTTCACCCTGAGCTACACACCCAGGCTTTTCTAATTTTTCATTTTGAGAAAGATCTAAATTTCTGGGGTTGCGCTTAATTTGTAATTTTCCTGCCTCAATTTCTGAGATTGCTGGGATTACAGAAGTCTGTCACTGTGCTTGGTTTAATTGAGTTTTTAGAGGAGAATTGTAACTAAGTCACTGCAAGCATCAAGATGCATAGAAAGAAAGTAAGATTTCCATTTGGACCTTCCTGATCTTACCAATTGTTTATGTCTCTATTCATCCTGCCGCTCTACCTCCTTCCATAATTCCACATCTGGTTCTCTACTCCTGTCCCCATGAATTGTTTCAACTACTCACTTCACAAATCAGAGAATACCAGAAGCTGATTTCAAAGTTTATTTAGTTATATGTTGAGTATCCTAAACATTGTTGCCTGGTAACAGAGTATTGTCCTTTGGAGGACCAAAATACTATCAGTTTTTAAAAACACAGTGCCAATGACATTTTAAATCTTCCTATTCTTAACTAAATGCAGTGAGTTTCACCAATCCAGTAAAAGTAGATACTGCAAGATTCGGTACATACCTCATCAGTGTAAGTGTGACTATAAAGTTTGTTTTAAATACTTATTGTGCTTTATAGAAAAAAGTATTTTAAACTTATTCTTTGAATACTGCATTTGAAACACACATATGCTGTATAAAAATGTGAAGTGAAATTTTACCAAAAAAAATGTTGGCATCTTGTAGCCTAGTTATTGCAGTTCTTGAGGTATGGCTTTGATAAGGTTTAAAAGAAGTGGAAACAGTATAAAAGCTAGAGAGATTACCAGTTAGAAAACTGTATTGATTTTGCATGAAAGAAACAAATTGTGCAGGAAAAGAGGTGATAGGAAATGTCACTAGTTCTTTTGACAGGAAAGAATAAATAAATATGGAAAAAGACTCATAACACAAATGATAAATTTTAATTATTAAAATATGCATTTACTTATGACTCTCATAGAACTTGTAATTAATTATTAAGAGAGTATATATTCTTTATAAATTTTTCTACTAAAAACTTTTAAAACTATAGCTATGTCTTCCTTAAAGTTTAATGCCAAACAGTAAGCACAGAGCCTAAATCAATGTATTTATATGTTAAATTTAAAAAAAAAAATCCCAAATAAATCCCCCAAAGCCTATCTGTTTCTTACCAAGGTACACTTAGTCATAACACATGGTTCAAATTGTACTATTTACCCAATTGTCTTGAAAACATTTACACAAAAGTTTGCACACGTTTACAGAAGTTGTATTCATTACTGAAAAACGGCAAATGATCAAGTAGGTTATTCTCTGATTGGTGATTGGGTGAACAAGCTAAGTATAATGAAATATGACTCAGCAATAAAAAGAAATGAGCTATGTTTAGTTTTTTTTGGAAATCTAATACTGACTTTAGTACTATTTTGACATAAAGGTAAATTTGAGGCAACCACAGGCAAATGGAAGCTACTTGAGAACATGATTAGAAATGAAATAAGTTAGAAACACAATCTTAAATATCACATAGCTTTTCTTATGAGAGACGAGAGAAATAGAGAGAGAGAGAGAGAGAGAGAGAGAGAGAGAGAGAGAAAGAGAGAGAGACTGCAAAATACAAGGCATAAATAGGAAACAGGGAGATTGTTTTGAGGGAACAAAAGGACAAAAGAGACAGAAGAGCTAGGGGAGGTAAAGGAAACTGAAAAAAATTTATTTGAAAGGGAAAATGATGATGAAAATAGAACTTTTAGAAATGGGGAGAGAACCAACATTGGAAAGAGGAGAAAGAGAGGGTGGGCAGACTTGCGGCAGCAGGGCGCGGTGGCGACTTCAGCCACATATACCCCTCTCAGGTGGGATTGGTGAGAAGTACCTAGCCTACGTGAGGCTGCTGGCGGACCCAGTAGGCTAGCCCAAACCAGATCCCAGAGCCTGAGGGTGACCTGGAGGGGTGGGCCCCGCGTAGGCTGCCTGGTCTAGAACTTCCTGGTGTGCTGCGGTGGGCGAGAACACCTAACTGGTGCAATTTGATCAGGCTGTGGCTGACAGGGAGGGAAGCTGGGCCTCCTATATAAGCTTGCATATATAAGGAACAAAGAATATGGGAAGAGGCAGCAACAAGAAAGGCTCCTCAGCCCCCAATCCTGAGAAACAGGTAATAGCGGACACCACACCAATAGACATAAAGCGCCATCTAGAGAGCTCATAGATCAGTTCAGGAATGAAGTTATCAATGACCTGAAGCTAGAAGTAAGCAGAATAATTAGAGAAATGCTAAACACCACCCAAGAAAAAACAGATGGTGGAATGGAAGAACAGAAAAAGAGGGGAGAATTGTTTGATGGAGAAAATAGAGAAAGCATAGGATACGTGAAGCAGGTTCAAAGCGACTACCAGGAAACTAAAAAGTCTATCGAAAACTGGCCTAACAGCT